GAAACCCAGAAACAAAAAAACAAAAACAAAAACATAGAACCATGACAAAAGGTTAAAGCTTAAAGCAGCTGGCTACAGCCAACAGAATCTATGAGAAGGAAGCCCTTACTGAAGTCAGTCAAAACTGCCATTTTTACTTTCAAGCAACATATAGGATAGCCCCTGGATGACTAGTTCCTGTAAACAATCTTAAATGGTAACGTTTCATTCTTTTGTCTTTCCATCAGAAGCAAACAAAACCAAAACCAACCAGATTTTAGCAGCTGCACCATGTAAGCTCAGAAGGCACGAGTCATGGTGAAGAACTTCCTGCCTTCTTGGTCTCCTAACAAAAAGTAATTCAGTATAATTCCCAAAACTACACTAAAACAAGTAGCATCATCAAGAATTTGCCATGTGTGGCTCACAATATAAATATTCGTCATAATTTTACTCAATTCAACAATTTAAATGGCATAAGAAAGAGTGCTGGCTAAGATTAAATTGGTGTTAATAATGAAGCTGTAGAAAGATGGCTGCCTGGGAAACTACGAATCCACAAAACTTTCATTTCAAATCCATCACCTCACAAGTCTGAATGAGGTCTCCCCATAAAAAAAAGAAAATGTGCCTCTTTTATGTTTGGATCATCCTGCAGCTACCACCTCCACTCTGCCCCAGAAGAATTTTTATGGTGCTAATATTTTTAGCTGAAGCATAAAGGAGTACTATAAGCATTGTCCTTAATTGCTCATGAAGAATTTCATCCTCATACAGTCTGTAGCTGATTTCATCTATCTTTCATTCTGGGCTCAGCTTCTTAACTAAAACTGTGCTGTTTACAGCAATTTTCAGTAATGCTTTGCACTGGAGTGACAGAGTATTGCAATACTCTATCAGCATGCAGCGGCAGGCTACAAGCTGGGCTACCACTCTGTGGCAAAAATCTCAATAGGCTATAGTTAAGATTGTATTTCAAGTAGCTGAAGAATTTCCAACAGTCCAGTTTACTGCTCTCCTTTTAAAGATGTTCTGTAGTTCATACTTTCCTGCTTATTATTATTGATTCTACACAGCAACTTGAAAAATTCAGCAAGAATTTAAAGCAAAGATGGCCAGTGCAGTGGTGCTCTGTGAAGAATGAACTCACACCCTCTTTCAAGGTCAATATTTCGTGAAGGCAGTTGATATCTGATGATTTGTAAGCGTAGCGTTTCTAATCCCAATTTAAACTGCATCACTGCAACCAGAAAATTAAAAAAAAAAATCAATTTATCCAGTACTTCAAAGATAATTCTATTACCATATTTCCTTTTTATTGCATTTTTCACTCTTGCCAACCTTCTCAAGTCTAGATCACACGCTGAGTCTTCCCAAAGCTCCAGTCCCTCAATCTCATACTCACAGATGCCTTTAAAAAAAAAAAAACACTACAAAAAGCTTTGCATCACTCTGAACTAGAAAAATATATCATGGACTCACAGAATTGTAGGGGATGGGAGGGACCTATGGAAATCATCTAGTCCTAACCCCCTAGCAAAAGCAGGTTTCCTAGAGGAGGTTACATTGGAAAGCATCCACGTGGGTTTTGAGTATCTGCAGAGGAGACTCCATGGCCTTTCTGGGCAGACTGTTCCAGTGCTCTGTCATCCTCACAGCAAAGTTCTTTCTCATTTTGTATGGAACTTCCTGAGCTCCAGTTTGTGCTCATTCCCCCTTGTCCTGTTGCTGGACACTGCTGAGAAGAACCTGGCCCAATCCACTCGACACCCTCACATATTTTAAGTATTGATACGATCCATTCATCCCTTCATCCAGATCGCTGATGAAGTTGAATGAGAACAGATCCCTACACGAAGATGTAAAATCAGCATATATAAAAAGTAACTTAAATTTCCCCATTATTATTCTTGTGAAAAAACATTATCCAGTCTGCATTAAAACTTTCTATAAAAGTAAACTGCAATACTAAGTTACAAATCCTATACAGAAGAAAATGCAGCGTTCTTTACCATTTGCTAACTCATTTGCTCTGGGAAAAATCAGTCGCTTCCCATCTTCTTCAGCTAAGGTAAGTTTCAATGTTCCAGTTTACAACAGTTTCACTCAACTTTTTTTCAAACACAAAATTCCTTTATCAAAACTACAGCATGGCATTTACAGCTTTACCACGAAGGAATTTTAAGAAGTGCTGTGGATGGAATTCTAGTAACACAATTTATTTTTCTGGTCAGAACTCCCCCGCCATTTTTGGAAACTGTTTTCAAGAGAAGCGATGGTATGAATTGGTTTTGAATTCCCTTCTATCTAAAGCTTGAACTATTCTACGCCTTGCAAGTTCTTAAATGAGCACACATGATGTTCATTCAGAAAAGCAGTTCTTTTCCAGGAAACAGACTGCATTCTTACAACTGTGGTCAGGGGGAAATAAAGCGAAGACTTGCGCTGCTGAAGTTAGATCCAAATGTCTCTCTGGTAATTTATCCTAGAGAAACTTGACAAATTGCAGAGATGCTCACAATTCTGGCCAAGGGCTGATAAACTATGGTAAAAAATTAACCAGTTAACATTCAGCAGAGGCAGCTATAAAAGATGAGTGGCTGAACGGATTGGGCTCTCCAGCCCTGCTTGTTTTGCAGCTGCCAATTAAACCAAAGTGTCTTAGAGGGCAAGTGTAGCAACTGCCTCATTTTTTGCAATTCAGCACAATGATTTTTACTTGTCTAATAACATTTGGAATATAT